AGATAGATAGATAGATAGATAGATAGATAGATAGATAGATAGATAGAGATTCTGTTTCTTGGGAGAACCCTGACTCATACACCAGGTAAAGCTATATCCCTCCACCCCATCCCCATGAAGTTTTTTAATTTATTTGTTGACCTGTTTGTATCTGTCTCCCCTCCACCAGAATGCAAGCTCCTCGTTCATCACTGCTACCTATCTCCAGACCAGTGCCTGGCACACAGTGAGTACTCAATAAATAGCAGTGGACTTACTTTTTGCCTCATTAGCCACATGACCTTAGGCAAGTCATTTTACCTGTGAGCTGATTTTGTCATCACTGAAGTAGAGATGACATTGTGTCTGCCTAACCCCAGAGCTGCTTGGAGGAGCCCTAGGGTCGACGGCTGTAAGAGTGCTCCTCACAAACACAGGCTGCTTTCCTGGGCACAGTGGGGGTTTGTATTGTTCATCTTTATTCTCTCTTCCCCGCCTTTTACTCCCCTGCCCTCTACAGCACTTCGCACAGAGCAGATGCTCAGTGCAATTAGAGTGCAACAATTAGATAAATCATTCCATGACCATCTCGATTTTTAGTCAATTACATTCATGATAGCAACATTAAAAACTCTGCTTATTGCTGACTATCTTAATACCTAAAAAATATTGGTCAGAAAAGGGTGAATGCTGGGGGGAGGACAGCTGGAATGTGGTTGTATCTCGTTGAACAAGATCAATAGGAACCTTAACAAAGCTTCACAGTGCACAATGAAATGGGCTCTCTCCTACTTGTTAATGAGCAATATATTGGTACAGTCACTTCGGAAAGCAATTTGGCAATATACATCCAGACACATCAAAGCTTCCATACCATTTAACTTGGCAAATTCTCTTCTAGAAAACAACCCTAGGTGTTTCCATGGAATACAGACTCTGAGACCTAAATATAGGAAGTAAAATTATGAAACTCCTAGAAGAAAACAAAGGTGTAGATCTTTGCAACCTTGGCCTAGGCAGTGGAGTCTTAGATAGGATACCAAAAAACACGTAACCAGAGCAAAAATAGCTAAATTGGACTTCATCAAAATTTAAAACTTTTGTGCATCAAAGGACACTATAAAGAAAGTGAAAAGGCAACACACAGAGTGGGAGAAGGTATTTGAATTTTTCTGCATATATCTGGTAGAGAACTTTTATCCAGAATATGAAAGAATTCTCACAACCTAACAATAGAAAGAAAAACAACACAATTTTAAAATAGGGAACGAATTTGAAGAGGTATTTCTTCAAAGCAGATAAATATACGAATAGCCCATAAGCACATGAAAAGATGCTCCACAGTTAGTAGGATGGCTATTAAAAAACAGACAACAAGCAGAAAATAGTAAGTGTTGACAAAGATGTAAAGCAATTGGAAATTTCATACACCGATGATGGGAATGTAAAATGGTACAGACACTTTGAAAAACAGTGCGGTAGTTCCTCAAAAAGTTAAATATAGAGTTAGCATAGGACCCAGCAACTTCACTCGGAGATATATCCCCGAGATTATCGAAAGTATGGGTCCACCCAAAAACTTTGTCC